AAAAAGGGGGGAAAGGAGAGTTTGGGAAGGGCCAGCTCTGTCCCTTTCCTGCGTTTCTGTGCCCGGAGCTCTCCCAAAGGGGTTCCTGCTGCCCCGGCAGTGCCCGCAATCCCCGAGGGCAAAGCCCCGCTCAGGGGGCCTTTGGGAGCGGCTCAGCCTCGGCTTTTGTGGGATCATGGGACAAAGTTGTGGTGGCGACCGACAACACTGAATTGATCCCGGTGCCCGGGAAATGCCAGTCCCGTCCTCGATCCCGTGCCCACAGGAGCAGACACGGATGGGAATTTGGGTTTGAAAGCCCGGAAAAGGCCGATGGAATTGCCGGGAACCCCGGGATTCTGCAGGACAAGCGGCCCTCGGTTAAAGCCAGTCCTGGGGACACCTTTTGGGGTGGGGAGGAACCTGGAGCAGGGGAGAAATCATAACCACAGTGCCCCAAATCCCAGAGGGAAAAAATCCTGCTGTGGTGGTTCCATGAGCAGGAAAAAAAAAAGGGGATGAAAAATTTAGAAAGTTTCTTGAAAAGAGGGAAAAGAAAGAAAATACTTTGCCGTATTCCGGCAGAGCATCAAGAGGATCCAACTCACCGGGTCTGGAAAGATGGAGACGAGGAACAGCCGTGGATGGCACCGGAGAATCCCGAGCGCTCTTTTATACTTTTCCCGACCCTCAGTGGGATGGGAGCCGCGCTTTGTGCAAGAGCTTCCCACGCGTTACCAAACCGTGTTTTGCTGGCTGGTTCATTTCATTAATTGTCCTAATTGTCCTCCTAAGTGACGTGATAAATTCATTAATAATCCCAGGTCACGTTCTGAGCACTGCAGCCCCCGAGTTTTGTTCCGTTCGTTCCGTGTTCCGACCCCCGGGAAATCCCCTCGGAGCACTCATTGTCCCCGCCGGGATTGAAGCCGGAATGAGTTTAGCTCCAAACGGGGGATTTATCGATCTATCAACCATTTTTTTTGCACAATATTCCCCTTTCCACCCCAAAATCTCTATTTTTGGGTGGGCTGACAGAAACGCCGCCTCTCCCCAGAGCTGCTGGAATGGCAGAACCAGCAGCGGGACCCAGCATTTTCCGTGCAAATCGATATTTCCCAACCCATCTGGAGAAACCCAGAAAGTTTCAGGTTAATTGAGGAGTCAAGGAGGAATTGCTGACTGGCAGAGCTGTCAGACCCAGGGATGTCACCGGGGCCTGACAGGGCTTGTCGGGGTTCTGTCGCAAGATTTTAACCCCGATATCGGCTCYTGGCGTTCTGGTTTCCAATCTGGGTCTGGAAACACCAGAAATGTGGGGTCGGGAGTTGTATAAACATCAAATATTGGTGTTRTAATGATAGAAACATGAAATATGGGATGAGCACAGAATTTCGGGATCACTGAGGTTGGGAATTATCTCCAAAGTCATCGAGTCCAATTTGGGGGTGATCCCCAAAACCAGTTCCCAGGAATTCCTTGGACACCTCCAGAGATGGGGACTCCAAACCTCCCCGAGCCCCTTCCAAGGACTGACCGCCATTTCCAGGAAAAAAACAGGATGAGATTCCAAATTTCTGGACCGGCTTCCCTCCCAGAGTTTCCACCAATAATCAAATCCCAAATCTCGAATCTCAAATCTGAAATTTTGAATTTCAAATTTCAAATATCAAATCTTGAATCTCAAATCTCAATTTCTCCATTTCTTCCTTTCACCAGACGAGGTTTAAATCCAGGAATTCTGCTGTGGTTCCCCCTGAAAAAAAATTAATCCTGGCCAGTCTTAAGAAGCTTTGATTTTGTTTTAGGTGAAGGCAGCTTGGTGCACTCAAAAATATTTGGGGGTTTTTCCCCAAAAATGTCTCCTCTGGACACGCATCTCCCTGGAATATTTCAGCTCCCCCAAAAGAGGACAAACGGGGAATTATGAAAATTAGGGTGACAATAGGAGAATTATAAAAATTAGGGTGACAAAAGGAGAATTATGATAATTAAATGCTCTCACACAGAGCGTCCTTGGATCACAATGAGCATCCAAGGAATTAATTTAAGTCCTTTTTAACGAGTTAAACAGGGAGGAAAAAATGGTCCTTCCCATCCCAGGAGTTAATAGAGACGGAATTTGTGGTTTTCCCAATCCTGAATTTCCAGGGAATCTCCTGCAGAACAGGAAACATTCCCCCAGACAAAACTAAACTGATTTTTAATCTTGCTGAGGGAATTCCCGACCCTTCGCCCTTCCAATTCCCAATTCCCGAGTCAAACCAGGTCAGGAAATGGCAGCGGTCACAAAATCATCAAAAAATTATTTAAGGATTAAAGGGAAATAAAGGGCGTGTGCCCATATTGGCTGATGGGGTGCTGATTAACTAATCATAAACTTATCAGAGCAATTATTACAATTAGAAGGAGCTTATACAGCAAAACGTGTTGCCGGCGATGTCCCAAAGTCGTGTTGCACATCCCGGGAGCCATCGGGAAGGGTATAAAAACCCGGGATTTTCCTCCAGCATCTCCAGAAGCTTCTCCTCAGCCCGGATTTATCTGCGAGTTTTTCCCGGTGAGTTCTGCATCTTTAATTCTGTTTTTATGAACTGGGAAATAATTCCGTGATAGAGCTCGGAAATGATCGGGAATATGGACTGGAGGTCTTTTATGAGATAAATTATTATTAAAAACTGGAAGTCTTTTATGAGATAAATTATTCCGTAATATCAATTTTTGGGCAGGGAAGGTTTTGGTGGTTTTTTTGTTTTTTTTTTGTGGTTGGAGCTGTCGGGAGATGGAGATCGCAAAAACGCGAGGTTGAGTTGTTCCAAACCACAAAGGGAAAGTGTCAATTAAATCCCGATTATTCSAAGGGGAGGTGACAGCTCAGCTGCTCCCAGCTTGGCTTTGGTTCAGGGCAGAGAAAAACGAGAGGAGATGTCGGATTTATGGGACAATAACTACATTAATTGGAAAATTACAGATTTTATCATCAATTTATCATCTGTATAAATAAACAGACCTCGGTGAACATTTTAATTTTGCTCATTAGCTACACCGCAGTTCATCTCCATCACAAAGGATGTTTTCAGGAATCCTTCTAAATTCTTCTTTCCCCCTTTTTTTCCTGCTCATGGAACCACCACAGCAGGATTTTTTCCCTCTGGGTTCTCTGGGATTTAAGGCACTGTGGTTATGATTTCTCCCCTGCTCCAGGTTCCTCCCCACCCCGAAAGGTGTCCCCAGGACGGGCTTTAACCGAGGGCCGGTTCTCCTGCAGAATCCCGGGGTTCCCGGCAATTCCATCGGCCTTTTCCGGGCTTTCAAACCCAAATTCCCATCCGTGTCTGCTCCTGTGGGCACGGGATCGAGGAAGGGATTGGAATTTCCCGGGATCAATTCAATGTTGTCGGTCGCCATCACAACTTTGTCCCACGATCCCACAAAAGCCGAGGCTGAGCCGCTCCCAAAGGCCCCCTGAGCGGGGCTTTGCCCTCGGGGATTGCGGGCACTGCCGGGGCAGCAGGAACCCCTTTGGGAGAGCTCCGGGCACAGAAACGCAGGAAAGGGACAGAGCTGGCCCTTCCCAAACTCTCCTTTCCCCCCTTTTTCCTGCTCCCGTTTGACTCCAGAGCGGGATTTATTTCTCTGCGCCCTTTGCGAATCCCAGCTGTGATTTCCTCCCCTCCGCAGGTTCCCGTCCATCCCAAAAATGTCTTCGGGAGCGATGATGAGCAGCGGCTGCTCCAACCCCTGCGAGGTGACCTGTCCGCAGCCCTTCGCCAACGCCTGGAGCCAGCCCTGCGTCACCTCGTGCGCGGACTCGCGGGCCGTGGTCTACCCCCCGCCCGTGGTCATCACCTTCCCGGGGCCCATCCTCAACTCCTGTCCCCAGGAGAGCATCGTGGGCACCTCGTTCCCCGAGGGGGCCATGGGATCTTCGGGCTCCGCGGGCGCCATCGGGGGCGGCGGCTCCTCGGGGGGCTCCTATGGGGGCGGCTCCTTTGGGGGCGGCTCCTCGGGGGGCTCCTTTGGGGGCGGCTCCATGGGCGGAATCATCGGGGGCGGCTCCTACGGGGGCGGCGGCTCCACGGGGGGAATTGGGGGATCCTATGGGGGCGGCTCCACGGGGGGATCCTACGGGGGCGGTTCCTATGGCGGGGGCTCCTATGGGGGCGGCTCCATCGGGGGGATCGGGGGCGGTTCCTATGGCGGCGGCTCCTGCGGGGGCGCTTCCTATGGCGGGGGCCGATCCTTTGGCTCCGGGGGCTCCTATGGCGGGGGCCGATCCTACAGGAGCAGGAGAACCTTCGGCTCCTCCAGCGGCGGCTTCGGGGGCGGCTCCTCCTTCGGGGGCGGCTCCTCTTTCGGGGGCAGCTGCGGCTCCGGGAGGTTTGGGGGAGGAAACTGCGGCTCCTTTTATTTCTGAGGCGGCCCCGGCTCCCCCGGCAGCAGCCCCGGCCCGGGCTCGGCTCCGGGAGAAGCTGCGGCCCAGGGACACCCAAGGGATCGCCTTTCCCGTTCCTCGGGGATCCGCAGCGCTCCCCAAAGCCCCGGGGATGGTGCTGTGCGCTCCCCCCGTGTGACTCTGCCCCCAAGCCCTCCCTGCCATTAAAGTTCTGTTTGCATTCCAATTCCCGTCTCGTTGGGKTTTTTTCCCTCGTTACTCCTTTTTCCAGCTCCTCCTCCTGCCCAATGCCGGAATTTGGGAGGGTCGGAGGCTCCTGGATGAGAATCAGCCCCTTCATCACACTCAGCGCTGGGGTTTGAGGGGGGACAACAAATTTTCCACTTCGTCCTTCAATATTTTCCTGCTGTAATCAGAAAAAAAAAAAAAATCGCTGAGTATTCCTAGAAATGGGAGCTGGTTTTATGCGGGCTTCTCGTGGAAACCAGAACAGAAAATTCCAGTTTGAATTGCAGCAGAGTGTTTTTTCACCCAGAAGCCTCTGGTTTGAGATTTTCTCTAAAGAAGCACCGAATATTTAGGATTGTGAGCGCTCAGGCCTTTCAGCTCCGTCTCGGCTCAGTGCTCCCTGAGCCTCTTAATTTTCAGGGAGAGCCTTTCCYGGGAAAACGTGTCCCGTCCTGCTGGATCTGGTTGGACAACTCTGCCGCCTCTGGAAGMGTCTGTGCGAGACCTGAACGTGAATCAGAGACAAAACAGAAATGGAGACGAAAAAAATAAAACAGCTGAATCCCCAAAGAATATTTTTTTAAGGCTGTGGCGTTGCTCAGGGATGGTTTTGAAGAGTCCCAGGATCGCTGAGGTTGGGAAAACATTCCAAGGTCGCTGAGTCTGAGCTGTGTCTGATCCCCTCCTTGGTCACTCGGACCAAATTCCAGGAATTCCCTGGACACCTCCAGGAATGGCGACTCCAAACCCTCCCTGAGCCCCTTCCCAGGACCGACCGCCCTTTCCAGGAGGATTTTTCCCAAATTTCCACCCTGAACACAGCTGGAGGCTGTTCCCTCTTCTTATTTCCGTCCTTTCTGCTCAGACACTAATTTTTTGTTTGTTTGGTGGTTTTTTTTTTGTTTGTTTGTTTGTTTTTTGGGTTTTTTTTTGTTGTTGTTCTTTATTATCATCACGATCTCAGCGCTCTCCATCCCCTCCTGGAACCCGAGCGATTCCTGAGGATCCCCGGGGCGCAAAACCCTCCTTGGGAATGCTGTGAGGAAACGCTCCGGGGCGGTTTTGCAAACACCCACTCACGTTTTTCCCYCATGCAAAGCGCTGCCGAGTTAATGACAGGCTGCGGGAGCGAGACGGGCTCTGAATCACCGCGTCCCTTCCCAAAAAACGTGTCAGGGCCACCCCTGAGTCAGGCGCTGAGGAACGCCCCGGGAATTGGGATCCCTCGGGTGCTTTTGGGATTAGAAACCAGGCCCGGTGTTTGTTATCCTAATGATACCGTTTCCATCCAACACTCACCTWCCCAAATCGGGGCGTATTTTGGGGATTTAAATGGGGTCGGGCCGCGCTCCCCTGCGGGGCTGAGCTCCAAACACGACAGGAATTTTTGCTGTAACCCGGTATGAACTGGGGCTCTTCGTCCTCCGAATCCAAAGTTATCACGAGCAATCTCCAATAAATATTTTTGCTGTTTTTTCCTGGTGTTGAACAGGGAACGATCGCCTTTGGGTGGCTTCTCCCTCACCCCGAGTTTCCCACACTCTTCCCCACATTCCGGCGTTTTTCTGGCCACCAAAACCACCGGGAAATGGAACTCGAGTGATTTATTCCATACCAGGATCCCTCTGACCATCCCACTTTTTCCAAAAGGGACTTTCCCCCTTCCCGCTCCTTCCTGGGCACGGATTGTGGGGCAGAGGAGGAGTTTTGCCCTAAATCGGGGCTCCCGTGACAACACCAACCCCCGGCGCTGTTTTATATCCCRGAATCCCAGAATTTTGRGGTCAGAAGCGAACTCTGGAGACCTCTCGGGGCAGGTGACACAGGGACCCCTCTCCACGCGGGTTTGGGGTGACTCCAGAGAGGAAAAACCCCAAATCCTTTCCAACCCAAGCATCACCTCCACGGGAAGAAATTCTCCCTGACGCTGAGGTGGAACTCCTTGGGATTTCATCCACAAATTCGGGATGAGTCGGATCCCGGTCTCGGACACCAAACGAGGAGCCAGAGCCCCTCGGGCTGGGCCAGGAGTGACTCTGGAGCCGACTCGGCCACTCCGGTCCGGCATTTCCACAAACTCGCCCCAACAAGCTCGGACTCAGCCRGGAACGCTCCTGGGCTAATGCTGGGTTAGGCTCAGCTGCCTTCCTGGAGCCGCGAAAACAAATCCCGGGATTTGCAAGGACGAGCCTGGCAAAGCTCAGAGACCCGACAAAGCCAAGCTCAGCCAGGGGTTTTCAGCCCAGCAAGAAGAAATTTGAGCCCCAAAACTCCGAAATGAGAAGAATCCGGGGCTAAACGACGGCGGTCATGTGCTGGTGAGAAAAGGGTAATCAACAGCAAGGGTGAGCAAAGCAGAGCAATTAGGGTAATTACCCCCCAAATTTGGTTTGGGGACTAATGGCACCTAATGCCCAAATATGACGTTATTTTCTTGCATCAGCCTGGTGGTCCAGCCGGGGATATAAAAACCATTCCTGACTCAGGGAGCTTCCAGCGGGTCCTCTTGGCTTCTCCTCGGTGAACTGAGTAAGTTGGATTCTGATTTGGATTATTCCTAAAATAACAAAATCAACCGAGTCGAATTTAAAAGAAAATTTGAATTTAGCTCAGGGCTGAATTTTTGGATTCGTATTCTGCCGTTCTGTTGAATTTTGGGTTTTTTTTTCCTTTCCCCCCCCCCGAATAATCAAAATAATTTTGGTTATCCATCCGGAAGTACTGCGRGATCGAGGTTTAAAAATTTATTTGCCATCTAGATAATATCAAAAAAGTCTATTTTCATGACTTTATGGAAATTTAATGGATGCAACCTTTAGGTAACCATAAAATGCCTCAGCCAGCAGTTTCCACCTGTGAGAGCGGGGACGGTTCTGAACTTCTGGTTTCCGATTTTTATCTGATTTTGGGCAGAGGTGGTGCGGAATCTTAACCCCAGGTTTTACAAATATTGAGATGGGCAGAGCTGCGGTTGCCTTTGGATGAGGGCGCAACATCCCCGTGGATGCGACTCTACAAAATTCCGGTTTCCCCGTGCCGGAGAAATGGGGAAAAAAACCCAAAAAAGTCAAATTGGGGTGCAGCCTTGGGAGGTTTTGTTGTGTTTATGCAAAGTTTTGGTTTTATGCAAAGCGAGAATATTTGAATTCACCCGGGGTGTTTTGTGCTTTAGGTTTAGGTCGGGTTTTAAGTTTTTTCTTTCCTGTGGTTTGGTCTCTGTTCAGGGTGGAGGATTTAAGGATTTAAAGAGTGGGAACTCCAGGAGAGGACCTGGAYTGGGGTTTAAATTTAGATTGGGGTTTAAATTTGGGGTGAATAATGGACATTTGGGCATCGCTTTCGGAACACGGAAAGAAAACAAAACTGGCTTGAGTCAAACTCAGCCCCACCCAGGCTTCTCCAATAGGCTGGAGAGAAAAAAAAAAATAACAATAAACTGGGCTGAACCCAAAATATTCCATTTAATCTGCAACAACAGATTAAGCGGCTCCTTCGCCGGGCGCTTTGAGGCGGAATTTGGTTAAAATGACAGCTCGGAGTGGATTTTGGTKCTGTTTCCCAAGGCACCTCCCCAACCTTGAATTTATTTCAAAACCAGAAATAAAAGGTGGAGGATTCAGCCCAGGTTTGCAGGCGGTTTTAATCCCTCCGAAATTTATATTTGGGAGAGCCATTCTCAAGTTTTTATTCTACTTCAGCTTTTTCTTAATTTTCTCTCAGAAGGTTTTTATTGAATTTTCTGAGTGGGTTTTATGCTAAATATCTGAGCTAAATCCACCTCCTATGAACTGACTGCACTAAATCCATAATTATTGRTATAATTATGGGATGAATTCCCTAATGAGGATGAGATTCCTCGGGGTTTTTTGATCCAGAATTTGCCAAATTCGGATCAGTAAAACCTCTCGTGTTTTCCATTCCTACAGTGACTTTTTTGTGTTGACCTCGTTTTACTGAGCTCCACCTCTGGAGCCCAAATTACAGGAGAAAATAATGTTAATTAAACAGCAGCCCTAAAGGGGTCATTTGGTGTCCCCAGTGAGGTGTTTTGGTGTCCCCAAAAGGGTCATTTGGTGTCCTCAATGAGGGGGTTTGGTGTGCCCAAAGTGGTGTTTTGCTGTCCCAAATGGGGTGATTTGATGTCCCCCAAAAGTGGTGCGTTGGTGTCCCCAAAAGAGGTTTGTTGGTGTCCCCAATGAGGTTTTTTGGTGTCTCCAATGAGGTTTTTGGTGTCCCCAATGAGGTTTTTTGGTGTTCCCAATGAGGTTTTTGGTGTCCCCAATGAGGTTTTTGGTGTCCCCAATGAGGTTTTTTGGGGTCCCCAATGAGGTTTTTTGGTGTCCCCAATGAGGTTTTTGGTGTCCCCAATGAGGTTTTTTGTGTCCCCAATGAGGTTTTTTGGTGTCCCCAATGAGGTTTTTTGGTGTCCCCAATGAGGTTTTTTGGTGTCCCCAATGAGGTTTTTTGGTGTCCCCAATGAGGTTTTTTGGTGTCCCCAATGAGGTTTTTTGGTGTCCCCAATGAGGTTTTTTGGTGTCCCCAATGAGGTTTTTGGTGTCCCCAATGAGGTTTTTTGGTGTCCCCAGTGAGGTTTTTTGGTGTCCCCAATGAGGTTTTTTGGTGTCCCCAATGAGGTTTTTGGGGTCCCCAATGAGGTTTTTTGGTGTCCCCAATGAGGTTTTTTGGTGTCCTCAATGAGGGGTTTTGGTTCCCCAATGGGGTTTTTTGGTGTCCCCAGTGAGGTTTTTTGGTGTCCCCAATGAGGTTTTTTGGTGTCCCCAATGAGGGGTTTTGGTGCCCCAATGGGGTGTTTTGGTGTCCCCAATGAGGTTTTTTGGGGTCCCCCAGGAGGTGTTTGTGTTCCCAGAGCTCTGGGAGCAAAGCCGAGCAGGGTGGACATCAACCCATCCACCCCCTCGTGCCCTTCCAGGGTTTGATCCCGTCCCTCTGGCTCATCGGAACTCACATTTATCCTTTCCAGGAGTTGATCCCGTCCCTCCGCCTCCTCGGAACTCACATTTATCCCTTCCAGGGGTTGATCCCATCCCGCCGGCTCCTCGGAACTCACATTTATCCTTTCCAGGAGCTCATGCTGTCCCTCTGGCTCCTCGGAACTCACATTTATCCTTTGCAAGGGTTGATCCCATCCCGCCGCCTCCTCAGAACTCACATTTCTCCTTTCCCCGCAGGTCCAGCCCAGCTCCGAGATGTCCTGCGAGAAAACCTCGTGCCCCAATCCGTGCCCGGACGGCCGCGCCGCCGCCTGCACCGAGCAGTGCGTGGTGGCCTGTCCCGACTCGCGGGTCATCATCTTCCCWCCGCCCGTGGTTGTCACCTTCCCGGGTCCCATCCTCACCACGTACCCGCAGGAAACCGTGGTGGGCTCCTCGGATTCGGCCGAGCTGGCCGGGGCGCTGGAAGCCGGAGTGGCCATTGGATCGGGCCAGAAGGGCCTGGATTGTCTGGATCCGTGCTGCCTCCAGCAATTTGGGGCGAAATGTGACCCACCGTGTGTCACCCCCTGTGCCCAGCCCTGCGTGGCCCCGTGTGTCACCCCGTGTGCCACCAAGTGTGCCCCGCCCTGTCCCCCTCCTTGTCTCCAGCCCTGTGCTCCACCCTGTCCTCCGCCTTGTCCCCCACCCTGTCCCCAACCCTGTCCCCAACCCTGTCCCCAGCCCTGCGCCACCAAATGCGCCCCTCAATGTCCCCCGCCATGCCCCGCCCCCTGTGCCACCCCCTGTGCCACCAAGTGCGTGACCAAGTGCGTGCCCACCTGCCCCACGCCCTGTGCCACCCCCTGTGCCACCCCCTGTGCCACCAAGTGCGTCCCCGAGCGCTCCTACACCTTCTCCACCCGCTGGAAGCACCCGTGCCAGAGGGGCCGCTGCAAGGTCTGAGCGCTTTCGGAACGAAACGACCACGGAAAGGAACCGGGGAAGAAGCGAAGGAACMCAGAATGTGACCCGAAGGCTGCCGGAGAGGGGGAAAAACGCCGCTGGAAATCAGGACCGTGCCGTTGAGTTTAGGATAGAGCTTTAGTTTAGGTTCAGGCTTTTCTTTCTTTCTTGGGGCTTTGCGTTTTCTGTCTGTGCTTTGGATTTTTCCRGCCCAGTTTGACACCGAGCGTGGATCGAAATGAGGGATTTGGGGAACAGTGGGGGATTGGAAGGTCTCGGCAAGTGTGAGGGAAGGGGTGTCGGGCTGGAAGATCAGGCTGGAGCGGGGTTTTGGGCTTTTCTCGTCTCTAGGAGTCAGCTCCTCTTCATTATTCCGCATTTTTCTCTCTGCGAATGTTGACTCCACTTTGCGTTCCTATTAAAATGGTGCTGCATCAAAAAAAACCCGTTGGCCTTCGGAATTCTCTTTTTCCTCTGCTCCTTGGGCTCTCTYTGGGGACACTCAGCCTTGCATAGAGGGACAGGAGACCTCGAGGCTCTTCCCGGGCCGCTCCGAACTTGATGGAAGGTGAAAATTTAGGATTTGGTTCGGCTGTGCAGATCCCTGTGCAGAAATCAGCGCTCAAATAACATGATCCTGTGAGCCAAGGTTTTATTCCTAAAAAAGCCTGGCTCTGCATTTTCTGGGATAAAATATTTTATTACTAAAAAAAAACCAACAACCTGGCTCTGCCTTTTCTGGGATAAAACATTTTATTCCTAAAAAAGACCCCTGGCTCTGCCTTTTATGGGATAAAAGATTTTATTCCTAAAAAAAGAAAAAAACAAACCAAAAAACAAAAAACAAAAACCCCTGGCTCTGCCTTTTCTGGGATAAAAGATTTTATTCCCAGAGAAACTTAGCTCTTCATTTTCCAGGATAAAACCTTCAGATTGTACCAAACCGGGAATTTTTAGTATCCTGTTCATTCCCAGCCCCATTTGGGGCTTTTCTTCCCTCTAAACAAACGCAACTGAGCCGAATCCAAGCTTTTTTTTTTTTTTTTTTTCCACATTTCCGCAGCCAAACTTTCCTGAACTGCTTTTCCGAGGACTCTTTTCCACCTCTCCGCGGTGACTCGGGGTCACAGCCCCAAAAATTCCGAGCGCTGGTGCCAACAGAGGATCCCTCCGGGCTGTTTTGGGGTGCCGGGCGTGTCCCGCTCATCCCATTCCAAGCAATTCCCGGCGCTGTTTTTTTTTATCCTAAAGATTACATTCGGTTCATTCTTTCCCTAATGACCGCTGTTGTCGGAGTCGCTCCGGTGACCGCGAAATTCCGGGTCATTCCCGCAATTATTTTTCCCGCCCCGAAATATCCCAAGAACAAAGGGAGGCCGGGACGCTTCCCTGGATTACGCCTGGACCTGGAATGTTAATTTAATGTTCATTAGCGCTTATTTGGGTTACATTCCCTAATATTGGAATCATTGATTTGGGGAAAAAAAAAAAAAAAAGGAAAGAAAAGAAAAAAACAAGGAAAAAGAAAAGGTCGCAATTTTCATAATTCCACAATTTCACACATTTTTATTTCTTTTTTTTTTTCGCTTTTAGTAAATGGATGATTTTTACCCTAAAGTTGCTCTCTTTTTGTTTTATGGTGCCAATAATGAAGAYTTGGGAATGTTTCCCATCAGCTCAAATTTAAAAGAGGGGTTTCCAAAATCCATCAGCTCCCTCATTCCACAAGTTGACTCCCGTCACATTTTGAAACAAATTTGGGGGTTTTTAACATCGAAAAAGAAATTTTAAAATTTAAATAAATATAAATAGATAAAAATAAAAATAAAAAAAAAATAAAATGTTATTCCTCTGTTGAGAACCCTGCCAAGCCCCAAGTTACCAGGCTGGAAAAATTTCATTTCCAGCAATTTTGCCCCCCTCCCTCAATTCCCCACCAAATTCTTTGGGAAAAAAAGGAGATCTCCAACTTTTTAATGGACACCCTTAAAAAACTGGAACACACAGAGGTGGGGAAAAAAAAAAAAAAAAGGATATTTGAGGAGAGAGATAAAACAGGAAAACCTGAGGATAATCCAGCTGTAGATAAACCAGCGAAACGCTTGGAGAAAAACAGGAATTATTCTTTCCAGTGCCGGGAACGTTCCTAAATCTTTCTTCACCACCCGAGGCCGCTCCTACCCCTTTCCCGGCGGTTTTGTTTGCCGAGATTTTAGGGAAAGCAGGGGGTTATTAAATCCCTTTTCACAGAGGAGATAATTGCTGCCCTCCGGGAATTGCGCGGGTTCCAAGGAGGAGCCTGGAGCGGAGCCAAATGTTGATATCTCCCGCCACGTCTGACATAAATTATAGGATTTCCTCCATGTTCGGCGCTGCCGCGAGATCAATTAATTAACTAGCACAAATAAACAATAAATCATTAAACTCGGTCCGGCAGTAAGAGAAAAAAAAAAAAAAAAAAAAAAAAAAAAAAACAAGGAAAAAAAAAAAGAGATTATTTGGAGCAGAATTAATTTGAGTTTTGAGGGAGGAACGCCCGGAACAAACTTCCCGACTTTCCGACAAACTTTCGGAATATAAATATAAATATTTATAAATATTCGGTGTTTGGGTTTTTCGCTCCATTCCGAGGGAATCAGGGAGGAGGATCTGACCTGGAAGAACAACACGAATTTCCATTATAAACCCAACCCCGGTTTCCCCTGGCAAACGTCATCAAAACTCTTGGAAACTCCTCCCTAAAATCCGATTTTCACGCCCTAAATTATTCGTATTTATTTTTCCCGCTGCCTCAGAAGCGCCGGCGCCCCAAGCCCCGAGCGGAGGGAGGTAAATATTAACAAAGGCCCTGTTAATCTCATTAAAATCAACTTGAAACGGATTAATTATTCTCGTTGTTTAATTATTCTCGCTGTTTAATTGTTGTTAAAAGCAGCCGGGATGGGTTCGTTTATCCGGCTCCCATAAATCCCTCTCCTGCTCTTTTTTTTTTTGCGGGCTGTAATTTCGGGAGGAGAAGGAAAAGCCCTCGGGAAAGGCAATTCCTGCCGGGATCGTGTGGGATTTGTCCCTTTAGGGTGTCCCGGAAAACATCCGACAATTACCGGGATTTACCGGGCCGGGCGAGGAGATAATGAGTCCATAAATTTTAATCCCGAATTTGCTGCTGAGTCCTCGGAACGGCCCGGAATTCACTCATTCCTGACCCATATTTTCCCTGATTTATCCTCCCCGCGCATTCCAGGATTCCGGAACTCGATTTGCCCTCCTCGAGGGAGTTTTTTAGGGCGAAGTGAGAGAAAATAAAGCGGGAGTTTTCTTCAGACCCCGAATTCAGGGCAGCCCCTTGGGTTCCCTCTGTGTTCCAGGGGAAAAGAGGATTTTGGGATGTCCAAAAGAAGGATTTTGGGATCTCCAAAAGGAGGATTTGGGGATCTCCAAAAGGAGGATTTTGGGATCTCCAAAAGAAGGATTTTGGGATCTCCAAAAGGAGGATTTTGGGATGTCCAAAAGGAGGATTTTGGGATGTCCAAAAGGAGGATTTTGGGATCTCCAAAAGGAGGATTTTGGGATGTCCAAAAGGAGGATTTGGGGATGTCCAAAAGGAGGATTTTGGGATCTCCAAAAGGAGGATTTTGGGATGTCCAAAAGGAGGATTTTGGGATCTCCAAAAGGAGGATTTGGGGATGTCCAAAAGGAGGATTTGGGGATGTCCAAAAGGAGGATTTTGGGATCTCCAAAAGGAGGATTTTGGGATGTCCAAAAGGAGGATTTGGGGATGTCCAAAAGGAGGATTTGGGGGTCTCCAAAAGAAGGATTTTGGGATCTCCAAAAGGAAGATTTGGGGATCTCCCTGGCTGCTCTACCACATTTTTGGGGTTTGCCAGGGATGCCCCCGTCTCTCCGCTGGTTTTGAACCAGCTGGGCGGGTTTGGGGTGGCTGAGTCAGCCCCCAAATCCTTACAAAGATCTTGGCGTGGTCGGGTCGCTGTTCCTTGGGTTCCTCGGGGATCCAGGGCAGTCAGGAGCTCGGGATTTGAGATATCAGCACAGCCCAGGTCCCACCTCCGTCCTTATCTTTAATTTCCGGGATGCAGGCAGCGTCCCGGAGATAAAGGGAAAGGTGATAACGACCCCAGAGTTCTGCAGAAATGACAGAGGGGACACCGGGATCACCGCGGGGATGGAGCGAGGAAAGGCTGGAGATCGGGACTGGAGATTGGGATTGTCCAGCCGGGGGAGGAGAAGATTTGGGGTGACCTAATTGTGGCTTCCAGGACACGGAGGAGCCGCCAAAAACCACGGGAGAGGCGTTTTCCAAGGAATGGGGTGGCAGGATAATGGGAATTTCACCGCGGAGTCCTTTTGAAGTGAGGGGCCCTGAAATACATCGAGCGATTCCAGAGATAGAACGTTTCTATCCCAAAAAAAAAAACCCAAAAAGTCCTCATTAGGTTTGGAAATTTTTCATTAAACGCCCGGTCATTGAGAAAAAAAATCCATTTTTTTCGGTTTGAGAATAAATAAATCAGTGAGTTCTTAATTTCTGTGGCGAATTGTGAATTTTTTTACACCAGGAAAATGACAAAATCATCCCTTGGAAAGGACGGTTTATATAATTTATGTTCTATGTTTTTAATTAGAAAATATTCATTTAGGCCACTGCCAGGCTGCGTTTTAAACTTTTTTAACCGCATAAATTCAGATTTTAAGGCGAGTAATCCCCTTGTGCGTCTTTTCCCTTGATATAGCAAATTTATTCCATACAAAAAGCAATTTTGTCAATTTGATACTTTGATTTTAGAGCAGCAAAGGACAAATAAATGGGTTTTATATCAAAGAAAATTACATTGACCCGCAGGGTCTCCACAAGAGGAGAACGAGATCAGGTTTTAAAGTGAAACTATTACTCATTATCGAGTCTTGAACGTGCAACAACCCGTAATTAATTTGGTGACAGCAGAGCTCTGCCTCTACCGCATTTCAATCGCACCGAGGCGCTTTGAAGTCCTCCGGCCCGTGAAAAAAAAATAAACACATAAATTAAAAAAAAAAAATGGGAAAAAAAGGGAAGTGTTGCCTTCCTCACCTCCGTCCCACGGGATTTAATCCCGGCCAGAAAAATCCGGGGTGGAAATGAAACACGAGAGGGGAAGGAAGGCCGGGGATGGGTTTGGTGCTCAGCCAGAGGAATTTGGGAATTCTGGTTCTTCCCGCCCCTTTGGTGGGTTTGTGCCTGGAAAATGGAATTTCCCCTCCTAAATAATGGAATTGGGTTTAATTCATGGAATCATGGAATTGGGTTGGGAGAACCTTAAATAGTTCCAGTTCCTGGGGAGGGAYGTTCCCGCTGTCCCAGGTGGCTCCAGCCAGGCCTTGGACAATTCCAGGGAYGGAATTCCATGGGATAATCTGGGTCAGGGGATGATTTATCCCCGAATCCTTATCTAAATCTGCTTYGGAACGTGTCACTCCTGCTCTGGGTGACAAACCGGGGATGGTCCCACCTTGGCCCCGATGATCTCCAGGTCTTTCCCAACCCAAATAATTCCCCGATTCCCTGCCCGGCGCTCCCGGAGGATCCCAAACTCCCCGTGCGATGGATATCGCTTCGATATCGCGATGGATATCGCTCGGCGGGGCTCCCAATTAACACCCACCCCTGAGAGGGGTAATTAGCGCTCTCCGGAATGATCCGGCACCCCCTGATTTGCACCTAAAAGAGATCCCAATCAGCGACAAATCGGGCCCGGAGCCTCGGGGCGCGGCAGGGACGGGATAAAAGCGCTCCCAGCTCGGGGTTCTTTATCCGCTTCTCCACCTTTCCTTCTCCGCTGCATTCAGGTAAGTCCGGGCTCAATCTTTTAATCCTGAAATCCTTTATTTTAGTGAAGTTCTGTTGTTATTTTTTTATATTTTAGCCTGAAGATCTGCTCTCGTCTTTCATTTCAATGTTCAACTTTGCTGTTCGCTGCCACAAACGCTCCATCGTGAGCTTTTTGGATTTGGGCGGAGAATCTGAGATTTAGAGACCTCCGAGGCTTTTAAACATTTCGCATTGAGCACGGGCTGGGGTTTAAACTCTCTCCTAGGCTTAAACAGCCCGACTTAGAATTTAGTGTGGTTATTTTGGAACGCATTGCCTTGAGCTTCACACCGATTTCTAAGTCACGAATATTCCGATTTTCCCCGCTGCGTTTTAGGCTCAGGTCTGCCCTAAACCCTCTCCTGAGCTTTGCAGAACCTCACTTTAATTTTTAGGGTGATTATTATGGGACTCTTTTCCTTGAGCTTTACACCGATTTTTAGGATTATAATTTGGAACTGTTCCGTGAGCTTCACACCATTTTTCCAGATGACGACTATTCTGATTTTCCCCGCTGTGTTTTAGGCTCGGACCCGCTTTAAACCCCATCCCGGGATTTTTTTTACGGAGCCATGTCGCACTGCGGGGACCTGTGCCTGCCCTCCTGGGAGGGGACCTGTCCCCAACCYCTGACCAACGCCTGCAACGAGCTGTGTGTCACCTCCTGCGACGATTCCAAAGCCGTCATTTACCCCCCGCCCGTGGTTCTGACTTTCCCGGGGCCCATCCTCAGCTCCTGCCCGCAGGAAAGTTTTGTGGGAAGCTGCAGCCCCGCGGTTCTCGGCCGTTCTTTCGGCTCCGGGAGCTCCCTGAGCTATCGGGGTTACGGGAATCCCGTCGGTTTGAGGGGCTCCATCCTCTTCGGAGGCTCCAGCGGTTCCGGGGGAGCCTGGAATTCCAGCCGATCCTACAATTCGGGGTGCTCCTCGTTGGGAAGGGGAAATTGCGGCCCTTTCTTGCATCGCCAGTACAGCTCCTGCAGCCGCGGCAGCTGCGGGCCTTGGTGAAACCTTCCCGGGAGCTCCGGGGGATGGAATTGGGGAAAATTCCTTCAAAAAAACCCCAAATTCCGGCAGGAATTCCCTGTCAAAGGTCCCGAGGTGTCTGTGTCGATTCTGTGCTGCTGTGAGCGTTGCCTCGGCTTTTCGTGCGCATTAAAAACCTTTTATTGCTCCACCCTGGGGTTTTATTTCACCTCTGTCTTCCTTCTGAGATCCCGAATTTCTCCCCCCGATGCCCCACTGAATTTCCAGGAGTCGCCAATGGCGGTTTCCTTTCACCCCCGAGTTCTGAGCATCTTTGGAAAAGGGAATTTCCGCCCTTCGCTGTCAGAAAAAAAAAAAAATAAAATGCTCTCGAAAAGCCAGAGAAAATAATTTTGTGAGCACATCCCCTCTCCGTGCAGAGGCTGAAGCCAAGAATGAAAAAAACACCCAAACTCTGATGGATCAACATCGTTTCACCCCGCCCTGAGCCCTGAGTGCCACGTTCAGGAATTGGATGGGGATCCAACCCTCCCCGGGCAGGTTTTTTTCCCTTTTTTTCCCTTTTTCAGGAGGAATTTCCCCAAATTCCCACCCTGAGCCTCCCCTGGCACAGCTCGAGGCCGTTCCCTCYCGTCCCGGCCCCGTTCCCTGGGATGGTTTTTCCAGGCGGGATGAAAACCTTTATTTCCTTTTTTATAAACACACACCTTCCCCTGGCCTCGCTGCTAAATTTATTCGAGCGATTGCACCACAGAAAACACAAATAAAATCAAGTCTAGACTCAGAATAAGATAAAAATCGCGGCGCAGAGAGCTGGGATAAAATTCCAGCCGGGAAATCGCCTCTGCCAGGATTTTGGGGAGAGGTTCCTCGGTGCCCTCATTGTCCTTGGGGTGAGGACATCGCACCGCGGGCACTCCTGGGGAGGAGAATCCTCCCTTTTTTCCCCACCCCGAGCCCGGCCGGTTTCGTTCCTCGCCCTCTGGTTTTTTTTTGGTTTTTTTTTTCGGTATCCGGGCTCCAGCCCCGTCTCCTGGAGATCACGGGATCGTAATTACGAATAATCGCTCTGACAAGCCCGAGCCGTGCCCGGGATCCCCTCCCGGAGCTGCCGGGCGATGTTTTGGAAAATAATTTCGGCCTCTCTGAATCATCCCCGCCAGGAAAAAAAAATAAAAAAAAAAAAATCATCAGCGGAGCCTCCCCCGCGAGTCCTCGTCCCGCGTGGGAGATGCGGGTTTGGGAAAAGGGATTAAAATGGGATTAAAAGGGGATTAAAAGGGGATTAATCCCGAATTGATGCTCCCCGAGCGCGATTTTCTGCGGGGTCAGCGGCTCCCACGGGGAAATCTGGAGTGGGGTCGTGAATCAGGGATGACGATCCCGGTTAAAAACATCCCCAAATCCCCGAATCGTGCTTTTCCCTTCTTCACCCTCACCCCAAAACCTTGTGGAGGTGATTCCCGGATTTCTGTTTAACCCCTTCCCTGGAATCCCATTTCCTCTGCCATTGCACCACTTGAGTTACTGCCAAAAAAACCCAATTTAATTTTAATTCCCCAGCCCTGCTTTCTCAACCTCGCTGTTTTCTTAGCCCAGGACAACCTCAAATCTTTATTTTTCCCCGCCTTACGCCCAACCCGGAGGAAGTGGGTGATTTTTTTCGGGCTGATTTCTTCACCGGGTTATTAAAAAGTCTGAGGTGAAACCCCAGCCCSGGCTGTTGATTCAGCGGGGAGGGAAATCCAGGGAGGAGCCCTGGGCACACCAAGGCCTCGTTCTTTCATCTAAACCCCAATTCTGAGTCAGGGACATTTGTTTGGGGCTCTGGGAGCAACGAAAACGGGAGATGGGGAGGCCAATCTATATTAAATTATAAGATTTTTAATAGGATTTGGGAAAATGGATGTGAGGATTGATAATAAAATAAATCTTCAGCTCTCGCTCTGCCCCGGGAGTTGTGCCAAAGGTGGGAATCGCCCTCCCTGCCTGACATCCCAAAATCCCCGGCATTTCGAACCACCCGAGGTGGAGTTTTGGGAGAAACAAAAGCCGCGATTACCTTGACTGAGTGACACGAGGAAAAAAAAAAATAAAATAAAATGAGTGTTTGAGGGACAATGGGGACAAAGGAGGACAGGGATTGTTCCCTTCCCTCGAGGCAGAGCGGGAGCTCTATAAAAGCACCCGCAGAGARTTTTTAAAGAATTAAATCATTTACCTGCGGTTCTTATTCCATCTCCTGCTGTGCGGCCAAGTGAGTCAGGTTTGGGGGGCTGGAGAGGGTTTTGGGGGGCGAGAAGGGGAAATATGAATATTCTAAAATTTTCATATTATATTTTTTTTATTTTTCATATTCTAAAATATTCATATTCCATAGGTTTAGGGTTTAGGGTTAAGGTTCATATGGAATATGAATATTGGGAATACGAATGCTAAAATCATGAATATTGGAAACATGAATGTTGGAACGTGGATATCTGAATGATGAATTCTGTAATTATGACTATTGGGATTACGAATCTTTGAAAATATGAACATTGGAAATATGACTAATGGAAACGTGAATATTGAAACGTGGATATTTTAATTATGAATTCTGTAATTATGACTATTGGGATTACGAATCTTTGAAAACATGAACCTTGGAAATATGAATATTGGAAATACGAATATTGGAAACATAAACGTTGAAACATGGATATTTGAATGACGAATACTGTAATTATGATGATTTGGATTATGAATCTTGAAAATATGAACATTGAAATATGAATATTGGAAATATATATTGGAAACATGAATGTTGAAACGTGGATATTTGAATGATGAATTCTGTAATTATGGTTATTTGGGATTACGAATCTTGAAAATATGAACCTTGGAAATATGAATGTTAAAACATGGATATCTGAATGATGAATGCTGTAATTGTGATTATTTGGATTATGAATCTTCAAATTATGACTATTTGAAATATTAATATTGAAATATTAATAAGGAAAATATTAATATTGAAAACCTCCCGTTGTCCCCTCTCTGTGTTCCAGGGTCCCCTCCAGCCCGGCCATGTCCTTCCAGCAGCTCTGCCCCGTGTCCTGTCCCCAGCCCGAGTCCCTGGCCTGGAGCCAGCCCTGTGTCACCTCCTGCGGGGACTCTCGGGCCGTGGTTTGTCCCCCKCCCGTGGTCATCACCTTCCCGGGGCCCATCCTCAGCTCCTGTCCCCAGGAGAGCATCGTGGGATCCGCGTTCCCATCGGGAATGGGCGCTGCTTTCGGCTGTGGGGATGTGCAGAGCGGCTGCGAGCCCGGCGTCTCTTGGGGCGGCTGGAATTCCTCCAATTCCTGCTATTCCCACAATTCCTACCCCTGCTATTCCCGCAAATCCTACCCCTGCTATCCCCGAAAATCCTACCCCAGCTATTCCCGCCCTCCCAAGCACGACAAAGAGACCCCGGACGAGCAACCGCAGCAGAAAAAGGAACAAATCCGCAAATTCTGAGCGAGGAGAGGGCACCGAGCGGGGCCGGGGCGGCTCCTTCATCTCCAGGAACGACCCCGGGATCCGCAATTCCCGTCGGATCCGCTCTCCGCTCGCGATTCCCATCAATTTTCTCCCCCTCTGTGTAAATTTTCCCGGATTCCTCCGTAATTCCCCGCTGCTGAGGGATTAAACCCCTTTTGTCGGCCCCAATAAAATCCTTTCTGCATCACAAAGTGGAGTTTTTCTTTTTCTACCGAGATCTCCGGGATAAAGGGGACGGTTTGGGTCCACGGGTTATCCCCCCAAAAAAAGGGGAAAAAAAGGGGGAAAGAAAAAAAAGAGAGAGAAATTCTTTCGATGCAAACGCGGGATTTTATTGGGATAAAAGCGGAGGTTTCAAACAGGAAGAACACGAGGTGCACCCGATCCGAATTATTAATCTACATAATTAATGAAACAGCAATCAAACCCTTCCACGGACGAATTCCCGGGAATTCTGTGCTCGGATGGAGAGAGACGGACCCGGAGTGAGCAAAGAATTCGGGGTTTGAGGCWGGAAAAGGCAAATTTGGAGAAAAACGGATATTTAAAGCGAAAAGGGTGAGAGGCAGCGCATCTTCCAGTGATGGTGAGGAGATTCTCGAGGATGGTGAGGAGATTCCAGGGATGGTGAGGAACTTCCAGAGGTGGTGAGGAGCTTCCAGGGATTCTGAGCAATTTCCAGGGATCCTGAACATTTCCCATGTGCAGTTTCCACGGATTCCGAGCAGCTCCCGTGGATCCCTCGAGCCCCAGGGAGCCGCGTCCCCCTCTCAGTTCCCTCTGCCATCCCCCCGCCCCGATTTCTCCATCCATTCATCCCCAATTTAACAGGGCCCGCAGCCGCCGTAGCGCTGGCTCCAGAAATTCGCGGAGGAGGACGAGGAGGMCAAAAAGCCCCCGTAGCCCCCGGGGGAGCACTGCAGACCCAAGGGGCGCTCCGTTCCCAGCGGCAGCGCGGAATCCACGCAGCTCTCCTGGGGACAGGTACTGAGGATGGGCCCCGGGAAGGTGATGAGCACGGGCGGGGGGCAAATCACGGCCCGAGAGTCGCCGCAGGAGGTGACACAGGGCTGGTTCCAGGCGTTGGCGTAGGGCTGGGGACAGGACACGGGGCAGGGCAGGGAGCAGCGAGAGCTGAGCTGGCTGGAGAAAGACATCGTGGAGAACGAGGAGGAGGAGGAGGAACTGCCTGGGGAGGGAAGGGAGGAAGGAGAGGGGTTGGAAAACGGAGCAGCGGAGCCGGGAGTGGCTGCGCTGCCGAGGCTCCGGTTTTTCTCTCGTTGCCTTCTCCCCGTTCTTCTCCTCCTCCTCCTCCCTCCCTCCCTCCTAAGCAGCTCCTCTGCAAAAGCTCAAGTTTTTATCTCTTTCGCATCTCCCTGACCCTCTCCTCCCTCTCTCCTTCCCTCTCTCCTTCCCTCTCTCTCTCCATCAATTCCTCCCTCCCTCCCAAGCACCTGCTCTGGAAAAACTCCGATTTTCTCCCTCTTTCCAATTCTCCCTGTCCTCCCCGATCTGTTTTCCTCCCTTCTTCCCTTCCTTCCTTCCCAAGCAGCTGCTTGACAAAAACTCCGAACATTTTTCTCTTTTCCCTTCTCCCAGCCCCTAGTATTAATTCTCTCTAAAAACTCTGATTTTTCTCTATTTTTCCTTTCTCCCAGTCCCTACTAGTAGCTAACTCCCCAAAAACTCTGTTGTTTTTTCTATTTTTCACATCTCCCCCTCCCTCCTAAGCAGCTCCTCTGCAAAGGCTCAGCTTTTTCTCTCTTTCACGTCTCCCTGTCCCTCTCCTTCCCCTCTCCTTCTCTCTCTCTCTCTCCATCAATTCCTCCCTCCCTCCCTCCCAAGCACCTGCTCCCCAAAAACTCCGATTTTTCTCTATTTTTCCTTTCTCCCAGTCCCTAGTAGTACTCCCTCTCCAAAATCTCTGATTTTTCTCTATTTTTCCCTTCTCCCTCTCCCTCCCTCCGCCCTCTCCCGGTGCCCCCACGGAGCCACTCCCAGCCCGAAAATTCCCAAAGCGCCCTCCAGACTCACTCGGATCGCGAAGAGGAGAAGCCGGAGGAGCTGCGGTGTGAGGAATTGGGAGCCGGGAGCTCTTTTTATCCCATCTCCCGCATTGCCCGGGGGTGTTGAGACATTCCTGGTGTGTCCCAACCCCCGGCGAGGTCATCCCTGCCCGGATTTTTTTTTATCCCGATCGTTTGATCCACCTCGGGACAATTATTGATTTCTCCCAACGCCCTCCTTGAATTTTTGGAAGCGGTTTCGCTTCCTGCAGCGTTGTGCTGATTTTGCCAGCGTGGCAAAAAAAAAAAAAATAAAAGTGTTGGGAAACCGTTTTATTTGTGGGATTTATTTGTGGGATGTGGGGACACCTTGCACAGACCAGGTGGGTCCAGCCCATCCCTGGACACTCCCAGGGATGGGGAATCCATGGGATCACCTCGGCCAGGCCCTCACAGTGAACAATTTCTTCCCAAAATCCCACCAAAATTCCCCCTCTGTCACCCTGACCCCATTCCTTGTGTCTTGTCCCTGCAATTCCTGAGGAAAAATCCCTCTGCAGCTTCCCTGGAGACCCTGGGAGGGGCTCTGAGCTCTCCAGGGGCTGAACATTCCCAAATTCCCATCCCGGATCCACAGGGAAGGTTCTCCAGCCCCTGAATTTGCTTTGGGGTCCCCTCTGGAGTTGTTCCAACAATTCCACGTCCCATTTATTTTGGGAAAACCAGACCCGCGCACAGAAATCTCGGTGGGATCCCACCAGAACAGATCAGGGAGGGGAGAATAAAACACCCCGAGCCAAAATGAAGCAGTTTTGGGGTTTATTTGGATTGATCCCACTGGGTTTTTCTCCTTTTGCTCTTTTGGGAGGACGGGGGTTTGGGGGCAGGGGTGATTTCCAAGGATTTTGTGATTCACGTGGGATGTGGCACCTCTGTCACAGTTTGGTGTCGGTGAAACCAGGCGTGGTCAGGGCAGGAGCAGCTCCCTGGGGTTCTACCCCCAAAATTCTCCTTCCTCGTTTTTTGTTTTTTTAAAACCTGTTTCTTTTTTTGGGTTAATCCTCCTGACTGTAAATTTCAAGGGTTGGGAAACAGCACTCGGGGAAATGCCAGGAAAGGCTTCCTCTGGCTTTTCACAGTTGCCAGTGAAAAAACTGGAATAAAATGGGCATTTTTTAAGGCAGAAATCCCAGGTCTGCTCAAAACCAACCGTTTAAATTCTAATTCCACAAAGGAGAGGGATTTTGGAGGGGAAGAACTCATCTTCTCAAGCCTAAAAATTTAGGAATATCATTGGGTGCAGAAAATGGGGAGACACAACAGGAAATTTCATCAGGGGGTGATTGGAGAGGGAGGAATCTGCAGAATAAATCTGCTGATGTTGCGTCCAGACTCCTGCATCATCCCTGGACATTGCGAGTTTTTCCGGGGGTGATGCACGGATCCACTCCCTGMCCTGGCTCACCCCTTCCCGTGAATTTTCCTCACTCAGCAGCCCCGAGYTCGGTGCTGATCCCATAAATTCCCTGAATTCTCCTGGAAAATTCCCTCGAGTTGGACACGTCCTGGGCGCGTTCCTCGGCCGGGAGGGTGGGAATGAGCCCTTCCCCCTTCCCAAATTCCGCCTGTGGATGAACGTGCCCGGTATCGGGGTCACGGGAGTTACCGTGGGTTAACGATGGAGAAATTGCACAATTCCCTTTTCCTTGGAAAAAGCAGGGGTGGGTTCCCAGCTGCGTCAGCACCTGCTGCTCTTGGATAAATCTCTGAGCAATCCCAGCCGCGTGAGGCAATCCCAGAAGTAGGAAAAGCAACAATAATTGTTATTTTTAAAAAAATCATTACTCTGCCTGAGTAATCCTGTGGATGTAATGATAATAATTAATAATTGCTGAGCGAAATAATGACTTTATCTGGGGCAGCGACAGGCGGAAGGAATTTTTTTCCGGGATCATTCATCAGCCGTGGATGTTTCAGCTCCAGCTGATTGCCCAAGAAATGGTATAAAAACCGTCTCGGTCCTGGGCTGCTCCAACAGATCCTCTCGGCTCGCTCCGTGCTCCACAGGGGTAAGTTCCAGCCTGGAATTGCTCCTGGAAATGTCGGGATCTGAGCTGAGCTTTGTTCGGAGCTGGAATTGTGGGGCCGGCAGGAAAAGGGGAAGGGATTGGGCCGGGAATGAGGAGGGGAATGTTCAAAGTTGTGTCCAGGTCGGGAAAATCATGGAAAGAGGGGCTGGAGAATGTTCAGGGATGGGAACGGGGATGGAAAATCCCGGGAATGGGAGCGGAAAATCCCAAAGGAGCGGAAAAGGGGCTGATCCCGGAGAAAAGGGGGATCCAGGGGGGATTTGGGATCTGCCAGGGGGGATTTGGGATCTGATCCCAGGGAACGGGGCCGGGACGAGAGGGAACGGCCTCGAGCTGTGCCAGGGGAGGCTCAGGGGGGGAATTTGGGGAAATTCCTCCTGGAAAAGGGAAAAAAACCGAAAAAATCCTGCCCGGGGAGGGTTGGATCCCCATCCCTGGAGGTTTCTGAGCAGATTCCAAAAGGAATGGAGGGAAGGAGAAATGGGAGCAACAGAAAGAATGTGAGGCCAAATACAGAATTATTGTGCTGTTAATTGTGGCGGTTTTTCTGCAAATTGGCTCCATAATTAAGTCAGGAGAAATGAGAGAGAAGGGCAGGAGAAGACGCAAAACCCGAAATTTTGAGCCTCCTCCTGATCCTTTTGCTGTCCGTTCTCTCTCCTCCCAGCCCGATCTTCCCGCCGCTTTGCCGTTGCTCATCCCAAACCCATCCCATTCCCAGAAGATGTCTTCCTACAGACAGAGCTCCAGCTCCCGCTGCCTGGCTCCCTGCGGGATCTCCTGTCCCCAGCCCTACGCCAACGCCTGGARCCAGCCCTGTGTCACCTCCTGCGGGGACTCTCGGGCCGTGGTTTGTCCCCCGCCCGTGSTCATCACCTTCCCGGGGCCCATCCTCAGTACCTGTCCCCAGGAGAGCTGCGTGGGCTCCTCGACACCCTCGGGATACGGAAATTTCCTGACGTCCGAGGGTTCCTACGGGAATTCCTGCAATTACGGGAGGTCCTTCTCTTCCTACGGATCCGCGTTCAGGAGCTGCAGACCGTGTTAAACACCCGGGGAAATGAGGAGGAAGAGGAGCCTTCAGCAAATCGGGGCGATTCCCGGAGCATCCTCACTCCCACCCTTCTCTGTAAATTCCCTTTGTTTTTCTGACTCTTTTTTCCAGCGGTTTCTGCTCATTCCGACCTCAAAATCGTCCCATCCGCGGTCYCTGGTGGAGTTTGTGTCACCTTCCCGAGCTGTAGAAAAGCAGGAATCATCCCTTTGGAATGCACAGCCCCGGAGCGATCCTTTCCTTTGCTCCCGTGATGTTTTCCCGGAGTTTTCCATTCCCGCTGTGATATTCCTCTCCTTCCTTTCTCATTAAAGCTTTATGCATCAAAATCCAGAGTTTTTCCCGTG